ACACCTCCACAACAACTTCAAAGCAAAGACAGTGTGTGTGTGTGTCTGTGCCTGTAGAGGCCACCTGCTCAGTCACCGATCCTGAAAGCGGTCTGGGATTAGAGGAGACACACACACACACACACACACACACAGTCCAAAGACAACGCTTTTCATGTTCGCGTGTGTGGAATACCACTAAGAGCACTGCACAGTCTTATTTTCCATCCTCAAAGACGCAGAGACAGAGGTGCATAAAAGCAGACGTCTTTATTCAAAGAGAGAGCACATCAAAACAGTGGAGTCACTGAGAAATCTCAGATGGGCTCGAGTGATCAGACTAATGCACAGACTCTATTACGAACTCACAGCAATCAGCGCAGCCTTTGAACCTCTGTCCCATTACAGGACGTGCGTCGTCTCAAAAACGCAGTGGCATTTACCGCTCGATAAAGAGCAGGACGGCATTCAGATTGTGTGCTGCGTGTACCTTTAGTGCTGAGGGTTTTAGACGTCAGCTCCAGCGTGTTCAGCATCTCTGTGCCGATATTCTCCAGGGTGATGGTCAGCTGCTGCGTCTCTCCGTTAAACAGCTGCAAGGACACGCTGGTGGACAGGTCTTCACTGGACAGATGAGCAGACCTGGACCAAAACAAAAAATACAAAGCATAAAATCTTTAAATGTTTATTAGGGGTGTAAATAATTGCTTTGACAACGATTCAGCTGTGAATCTTTACGTGATGCATCACAACATTTTGTCACAGTTTGATGGGATTTTTTATATTTTGGCAGGATTCTAAATGCATAAACTTAAAAACTTTCAAAGACACACTGAGGACACAAACGTACAGTAAATGCAGGGACAATTTAAAGCATAGTGGGGAAAAAAATAAAGTTTCACTTTAAAAAGCTCAAAATGTTATTAAGGACAAGTACTTTTGATTGCTTTGCAATAATTTCAGAGTGTGCCTGTGGAGAAAAGTGTCTGCTAAATAAATAATTGTAAAACACAGGGTATTATTATAGTAATTATAATCAATTATTAATTTGCATACTCATTATATTGAAATAGCATTCTCAGATTGAAGCCTTTACATCCCTGATGTCCTAAATATAAAATAAATAAAATAAACAAGTAAATAAATAATGAAAAATATAAGTATCTAATTAAATAAACAAATATGCAAATTATTAAGTAAACAAATAAATAAATCAAAAATATTTAAGTAAATAAATAAATGACTGGGGCAGCTATTTTGTAGTCAAAGTAGTATTGTGAAAGTATAAAAACTTACCAAGCTAGTGTCTCAATAACATGTCAATCACCAATAAAATCTTAAATAATAATAATATAACTCAAAATCATGCTAAACGTATTTGTTGGTCCAGTTAATGCATGCCCTAGAGGACTATTGTAAAGACCAGCCGGTGGCCATGTCAATAAGGTCAATGGCTCCTTTAATTGAAAGGTGGGACCTTCTTTTCTACAGCCGCTTTTCAATAAAAAGAGTCAATGGACTTTTTAGGACTTCACATGAGTGATTTCTCATGTGGCTTGTCTCCTTATATCACGTCTAGTTTAGCAATGGCATCTAGCTCAAGAGATGTGCAAAAGCACTGCAAAATTCAGACTTATCATTATAAAAGTCTTCAAAATTAGGGAACACCCTGAGGCTTGAGAAAAACCCTTAAAATAAACAGTCCATTAAAAAAAGGTGTGCTGCCAATGTTCTATTCCATCAATCCCCCCTCGATCGCTGTGTTTGTTCCACTCAGGGTGTCTAAACAACCTCTAGTAAATCGCTTAAAAGCTTTAATCCATTTTTCATGTCTTCATACTGTGCTGTTTTTGTCAAAGAGCATTTAGACTGATGTTTGGCTCTAAAAACCTCTTCAAGAAGCTCAGAAGAAAGTGAAAGAAGAAAAAATAACTGTGGACGGTCAAGCCGAAAAGAGTGTTTCATGGCAGTTTTCGGAAATATCAATTCACAGCACAACATTTGCATAAATTAACTCATTTTCCTGACATAAAAAAGACTAAAAGGAAGTAAAAACTGAACATTCAAAAGACCATTTACAAAATAAGAACATGCAAAAACATTTTAGCATTGATATCATGAATTTGATCTTAAAAACTGTCGTTTTCAGGAGGATAAACGCAATGCATGTGCACATTCCGGAGTAAATAAAGTATCAAAAAAGGCTTATATTTCTACAGTCGCCATATTTAGAGTTACGAATTCTCCTATTCATTTTTATATGAGTGGTTAAATGAGTGGTTTTGTCTCCTCCTCCTTAAAATATCTCTGACCAAACCTTTATTCCAGCAGAGCCACACTAAACAAACCAATTTCATTTCATTCTGAATGTCATTTCAGACTGACTCATTCAAGTTGAAGAATAATATTATTAATGTACTTGAGAATGAATATGTTTACAGCAGCCTCTGCAGAGTTAAATATGATTGAAATGACTGACAATCCTGTCAAATGGAATATAAGGCTGTGAATGTATATGTGTGTGTAGGCCTATAAGGAATTACTGTAATTAGCTCTGGGTGCTTTGGGATCGTCCAGAGTCTTCAGCCTGCCAAACTCTTCTCAAACAAACCATATTAAAGAAAAAATGAAAAGGATGGGGGGGGGGGGGTTTTTTGC